TGGGGTCAAAACCCTAAAACTTAAAGAGTTGACTTTTCAGGCAGAAGAAACCAAACAAATGAAATCTTCAGGATCGATCCTCAGTGTTCTGGGGTTTTTAAACCTTTCACACTTCTTGGGGGGACTTCAATAAGTCATAGAAATATCATGGACCATGTTTCAAGCTTTAGAAACCCATTTAGACCAAAAGTTAAACTACAATTGACTTTTTCAACTAGAAACCCTAATCAGGGTTTTGCACAACACTGCTTCAATTCTCTTGGTAACAACCTCAAATAGCAATTATTCTTGGTAAGATATAAACCTCTTGATGATGTGAAGACTTGATATGTAGAAAATCAATCCAAAACCTTGACTGATCAGTCCACAGGATTCTTGATTTTAACAGTGTAAAACCCTAATTCATCTGCATCTTGAGAAAGACCAACTTGAAAGAGGTTAGGGTTAGATAATACATACTTGATGCACCTAGAATGATAATGGAATCTAGGAGTCAAAATTTGGGGTATGACACATTTCTATGGACCAGGGATTAGTTTTTATTGTTCAAATAATGCAAGAGTTCACAGTCGAAACAGGGTTCAAATTAGTCACTTCCACACCTTACAACACCCAAGCGAATGGTCAAGTCGAAGATGCTAACAAATTAATCATTGGGATGATCAAGAAACATATTTCCAGAAAACCTAAGAATTGACACAAAACACTATATCCAATTTTATGGGCTTGTCGAACATCCCCTAAGGAGGCAACAAATTGAACGCCTTTTCGTTTAACATTGGTCATAGTGCGGTGTTTCCAGTGGACATTTGTTTAAAATTAATTAGGATACAGTGGAAAAACTAAATTCCATCAAAGCAATATTGGAGCATGATGTTCGACGAAATCGTCGACTTGGACGAAGAAAGGTTGGCTGCATTAGACGTGTTGTTGCGACAAAAAACACGGATGGCGAAAGCATACAATAAAAAGGTGAAGGTGAAAAACTTCGCGGTAAATGATTACGTTTGGAAAGTGATCTTGCCCATAGATAGAAAAGATAGAAATTAGGGAAAATGGTCACCAAACTGGGAGGGACAATTTCAAGTGATCCAAACGTTTATGAATAATGACTATGAAATTCAAGAACTCGGCATGGATCGACGAGTCTTAAGGGTAAACGGAAAATATTTGAAAAAATATAGACCAATGCTTCAAGTGATTCAAATCAAAAGAGAATAAAACATATCATTAATGGTAACCCAAAATGGAGTACAACCAAAATGGCAGTCGATGGTGGTTTAGTGACTGTTTCGTTCTACTATAGTGGGAAAGCTAGTAGGAGTAGCTAAAAACCCATGACCTAGGGAGAAGCCAAAATCATGAAAAATGGTGGAGTGTCCCTTGGAAATCGTGACACAGAAAGTTGTCACCATTATGCGTGATGTTAGCAAATGGGGCATAAAGTCGAAATTTGGCAAGAATAAAATGTCATTTCTCAGTTAAAGAAAATCTCAGTCGAAACTGGCCTTTTATGGGGCAATTTGTTAGCTGGTAAATTTTGACCAGGGAAAAGAAGAAGTAAATTAAAGAAAGAGACTTGGCGTCTCGAGCCAAGAAGCGTCGAACTAGGTCGACACCGTCGAAGAGGTTTGACGGGTAAAAACGGGAAAAAGGGATGTAGGAGTCCAGTCGAAGCAAGCTCGACGGACAACTATTCAAACTAAAGTCGAAGCAAGCTTGACGAACAGCCATTCAAACTAAAGTCGAAGGCAAGCTAGAACAGATAAGCTTTGTAGTTGACAAGAATGTGGAGAAGTTACAAACAAAGTGGGTGTGCATGGGTGGACGCGTGGTAGGCTGTGGATGGTCGACAGCGAATTAGCAGTTATTTCTTATGCATATTTAAGTAGAATCTAGTTTCAGTTTCGGGGGTCGCATTTTGTAACATTGAAAAGAATACACTCAAAGTATTAACGTCTAAGAGAAACGAGTCATTTCCACAAAAATGTATGCATGCGTCTAACTTACATTTAAGCAAATTATTTCTTAAGTCTTTGTTTTAGTTCATTTCCCTGTGCAATTTTTGTCTTATTTTCTCATTGATTTATCTCAGTTGTATGAAAGCAATTTCTTTATCTACCATTTCAAACCCAAACACTCAAGCAATCATTCTATACTTAACACTTAGTCTAGAATTTTGTAGACGATCCTGCAAGTAACCTTTAATAAGAGGCTAGAGATTGTTCGCCGGAAATCCAGGCGAACAGTTGCGTTGGCATTTTTCAACCCAAATGGCATGACGTTGAACTGATAATTAACCCGCTCTATCATGAATGTTGTCTTCATTTAATCGGGTTTGATCGTAGGTATATGGTTATACCCAGAGTAAGCGTCCATAAATGGTAGTCACTTGTATTCGACCGAGATATCCACAAGCTTGTTGATAATAAGGAGCAGGTAAAAGTCTTTCAGACACACTCCGTTGTGATATGTGTAATCTATGTAATCATTCATTTCTCCGAGACTTTCTTCATTGAAACCATGTTGGAAAGCCATTTTGTATACCTAACCTCAAAGATGAAATCTGCGTCCACCAGGCCTTTCATTGTGCTTATGATGGCTTTGGCCTTCTCTATAGATCATGTCATTCTCCAGTGGGAGACGTACTTGGCGTAGGGTTCAACATTTAACTAATGGTAAGCCATCGTAGGTTCGGTGCCACGGGATAGAGGTTGGATCCAATCCTCACCGAGTGTACGAAGTTATTGTCTAGTTGAATTACTTTGAAATCTATATCCGGCAAATGTCTAACTTCATTTTTATGCATATCTAGATTGAACATATCGACTTTCCCTAGACCTTCTCCCACTATCCTCGAAGAAGCGAGGAGATCTTTAAGGATGACTTATTTAATAAGTCTTGCTTCCTCGATGTTAGTGTTAATCACAATTAGCTTTCCTTCCTTGTTGTGATATGTTATCTTCATATGTATTAGGTAAGAATTTGTGTCCAGCTTTGTCAAGAAATATCTCGCAAGGATAATGCAAAAGACACTCTCACAGGGAATTACTAAAAAGCTAAGGGTTACCTCTCTCTTGCCTATTCCCTCCCCCAAAGATAATGTCAGATATGTCATTTTGCAAGGGTGAGTTGGTGAATCCTTGGAGGCCAGCAAATCTCCACTGTGATATGAACTTATATATGATCGTTGGAGGCCTAGCCGCTCTATAGTGTTGGCGTAAAGGATATTGCACGAAATTCTGTCGTCTATGAGGAATACCATGAGAGTGCGATCAACAATGGTAACTGCTAGGACTAGCGACAATTCTACGTTCTAGATTTAGTTGATCTTCTCGCGATCATGAAATTCTATAACCAATTGATCTTCGCTTCATGCTTTATTGTTAAATGTTGTTTGGAAGAGGTATTCTAGTGATGGATCTATGTCGGATGCAACTGCGTTGCAGATCTCGTTGATGAGCGTCATTGAAGGTGGAATAGGATCATAAGGTTTGACAGTCATCTCCGATGTGATGTATGAGGTGGTTGTCTTCATCTCACGATTCTGCTAGAGTTTTGATTCAAATCAAGGATGATCTATTTGTGGAATTTCGCAAAAATTAAAAGTTAGTTCTCATAAACGACGCCATTGTTGCGTTGGAACCATAATTGGTGTGTATTGATGGTGATGGATCCTCAATCGGTGGTGCTGATCTTTGAGGTAGTGGCCCGGGGATGGACCTGCAAAATTAACACTTCAATGCCTCAGTCGGTTTGAAATTCAAGATGAGTGTAGTGAACAATGAAGATAAGAAAAGTGTACATTGAATATCACGTGTGTTGATTTTTATACATTGAATTGTTTGGATTGAGTTTGTATCAGTTAGAGCCCTCACCTTGATCCTTTGGTTTGTCTAGAACAAATTTTATATATATATATATATATATATATATATATATATATATATATATATATATATATATATATATATATATATATATATATATATATATATATATATATATATATATATATATATATATATATTTTGTAAATTGTTAGCGTTAGAGGTGACAAAATAGATTTGATCCTTTAAACATATTTGTTTTGCTTGCATTTTATTGCAAGACGAGTAAAGAAATTAAGTATGCACCCTTTAATGTATATGTTCCGTTCTTTTTTTTTTTTTTTGAGGATTTTACTTACATGAATAATAAAATAAATTTTATATTTTTATAGCATTAAAATATTGGGTGTCCCGAGACCCGTCTCTCTTTATTTATATATATATATATATATATATATATATATATATATATATATATATATATATATATATATATATATATATATATATATATATATATATATATATATATATATATATATATATATATATATATATATATATATATATATATATATATATATATATATATATATATATATATATATATATATATATATATATATATATATATATATATATATATATATATATATATATATATATATATATATAACATTGTAAATTGTTAGTGTTGTGGGTGGTAAAATGGATCTGATCTTTTAAACATATCTAACGGTTGATAGGCCCGTGGCTGCACTCCACTCTTTTCTGACTGCAATGGATCATAATCCGCATTTTCGTTTGTCACATCTAGCTAGCACCAAACATAGACATCACATGTACTAGTATTTTGATGCGGTGCGACTAAAGTCGCTCGCAATTTTAAACGGGTTGCATGTGATTATTTTAATCTTGGAATACGCAGCGTCGTCATGATTAATAAATCACATAACGTAAAACACGTGGTTAAATTAAAGTAGACAAAAACAGCGCCGTTGTGTTCTTTCTTGTGCTTTACGTGTTTGTTTTGTAATTGCAAATGCTCTCTCATCAATTACGCAATCCCACTCACTCACTCTATCTACTATACATAGATAGGTCTAACGCTTTCTTAAATCTTTCTCTCTTTCACAACACTTCAGCGTTGTTGTTCTTATTGTTTCGATCATGAAGAATTTGAACTTGGAACTTCGTCTTTTCACACCTTCCATTAATTCTGATCTTCTTAACTCGTAACCATCTTTTCAATCTTTCTTGTTTCAGTTTATGAATTCATTCTGTTCTTAGTTAGGTTTTTGCTTAACTTTGTTTGTTTAATGCAGACTGGAAGAAGAAGCACAAGATCAACAGCAGCATCAGCATCGGCCATTGACCATTGTCTATGATGGCAAGGTTTGCGTTTCTGATGCCACTGAGAATCAGGTCTGTGTTTATCATTCTTCAATTTTTTTTTTAATTGGATACTGTTTTTTTCTTTAATGCATTGCAAATGCAAACACATTTGTTGACCTCAAAAATTGGACTCAGCTATTTGCCATGTGTTTCTCAATACTCCATAAAAATAATAGCATCATCATTAGTTATAGCAACTAGACCCACTATTATTATAGCAATTGAATTTTCACGTGTTGTATTATGATCACAAAACTTATAATCAATTATATTATTTGAATCAAAATAGGAATTAAGTGGGGTAATGTGAACTGGATGCAGGCCAGGTCAATTTTAATGCTTGCAAATAAGGAAATGGAGGAAAGAGTGAGGACACCAAGTGGATCGTCATCAGAGCCATCTTCACCAGCAATATTTACTAGTAACTTGTATAGTCCTGGAACTTCTCCTTCCATGAAAAAATCACTGCAGAGGTTTCTACAAAAGAGGAAGAATCGGATCCAAGAAGCATCACCTTACCATTTTAATGAGCAGAATTGATTGATTAAGATCATCTATAAATAAAAATTTTGGTTTAATTTGGTGTGTTAAAAGTACTATATGCATGTCTTTTTCACAGAGGGTTTTTGGCCCCATGTCAAATTGTCAACTGCTTGTAAATTATGTAGGATTGTAGTACATCATACATTATCGTGCATTACTCTGAAATTTGCATTATCTCTTTCTTTTGTTTTTTTTATTATTTATTTATTTATTTATTTATTATTTATTTTTAATGTTTAGCTTTTAAGTTTATGTCTGTATCTAGAGAAACACACCTTTGTTCTTAATGTGGTGAATTATATTTCTTGGTTTATCATAATAAGTTAAAAAATTATTTACTATAAACTATTTTTTTTAATTTACATAAAAGACCAATTACTTTACAATTTCTATAAACTATAAACTTACCATAAAAAATTATTTACTATAAAAAATTATTTACTATAAACTATTTTTTTTAATTTACATAAAAGAACAATTACTTTACAATTTCTATAAACTATAAACTTACCATAAAAAATTATTTACTATAAAAAATTATTTACTATAAAAAATTATTTACTATAAACTATTTTTTTTAATTTACATAAAAGAACAATTACTTTATAAACTATTTTTTTTAATTTACTATAAACTAAAACATTAAAAACTATTTTATCAAAACCTAACATTATGAAGAAGAAGGTGGAAGCGAAAGAATGACGAAAAGAGGAGCAAGCTAACGACGCATTTCTACAATTTCTTTTTTCACTTTATTATTAAATATGTAATTCGTTGTTTTATAAAAATCATATTTGATTTAGAAAGATCATATTTGATATTTTTGAGCTTTTATAGTTTAGACTTTGACTTGGGGTGCAAGCTAACCTAAATCTATAAATAGGAAGAAACCCTTATTTTGTAAACATCTCATCTCATCATATTTTGTAATTCACAGTTTGCAGTTGCAAGTGAAATAACAAAATTTTCACAGTTTGTGGGCATAGAGTTCTCTGTGAAAAATTATTCATCTTCTTCTCCAACGTCTACTTTCTTTCTTTCTTTTTAAACTTTTCTTTCATTGTCATTAGTGGGTTGAAACAATCTTGAGATCAAGATTGATTGAGTGAAATTCTCCATAGATCATGGTTGAGATTTCCAACATCTGGTATTTAGAGCTTCGATTACAATTCAAGAAAGGAAAATCGTGATGGCAATGAATCATCCAAACGGTCATTTTCCGACAAACCTTCCAATTCTCAAGAAAGATAATTATGAGAATTGGTGCAAGCAAATTATGGTGATTTTCTGTTATCAAGATCTTTGGGATTTTGTGAAGGGAGGAGTAGCACCGCTTGCAAAAAAACGCGACGGATCAAGAAAATGCTGCATTTGAAAAATTGAAGAAAAAGATTATAAAGCTCTCTTTATAATCCATCAATGTGTAGATCCAAATAACTTTGAAAAGGTTAGTAATGTAGAATCAGCGAAGGAAGCGTGAGAGAATCTTGAATAGTCGTTTGGAGGCGCAGAAAAGGTGAAAGAGGTGAGGTTACAAACTCACAAGAGAACCAATGAATTGCTTCAAATGGAAGAAAGTGAAAGTACAACAGATTTCTTCACTAGAGTTACAAAGTTGGTGAATCAAATCAAGGTACGTGGAAAAGTGTTGACATCAAGATTAGTTGTTGCAAAAATCTTGAGGTCGTTGGCTCCAAAGTATGACCACGTGGTAGTAGCCATAGAAGAGTTGAAAGACTTGTCAACATTGATGAAGAAAGAGCTTTAAGGGATGCTTGAGTCTCATGAACAAAGGATGGATGAGATATCTGCAGGAAACTCGAAGAGTGATATGGCTTGCAAACGCATTCAAAAAAGGAAAGGAAAGGCAAAGGAAGCTGGAATGGCAAAAAAAGGTAGAGGAGGCTACGACAATTCGAGTGGTCGAAATCAGTAGGAAGGAAACTGGTTGAATCAAAGAAAAACCTGGAACCAAGGAAACCAAAGAGGTGATGCTACAGGTAGAGGAAGAGGTGGTGGACGAAAGTCTAACAAAAGTCACATTCGGTGTTTCAATTGTTAGAAGTATGGTCACTATTTTAGTGAATGTCGATAAAAGAAGAAGAATCAAGAAACTGATGCAAAGATGGTGAATCATGAAGAAGAAGAGATGTTGTTAATGGTCACAACAAGAGACGAAGAGAGATTTCAGGACCAGTGGTACTTGGACTCAGGATGCTCATCATACATGTCTGGAAGGAAAGATTGGTTTATCAACATGAAGCCCTCGTCGAAGAACATGGTGAAATTTGCAAATGACAATACTCTAGCAGTTGAAGATATTAGTGATGTTTTGATTATGAGGAAAGATGGCAAGAGGTCAACAATTTTCAATGTGTTGTACATACCAGGCATGAAGAGTAATTTGCTCAGTATAGGACAACTAGTCGAAAAGAACTACATGGTGTCCATCAAAGACAAGATGGTGAGAGTTCTCGATGCAGGTGGTAGGTTAATCTTGAAGGCTCCAATGTCTCAGAATAGGACCTTCAAGATTAAACTCAATGTGATGGAGCACAAGTGCCTAGCAATTGCAGCCAGTAGAGATGAATGGTTATGGAATTTTCGACTAGGCCATCTCAACTTCAATGAAATCAGAGAGCTAAAGAGGAGAAATATGGCTTCAGGATTACCTGAAATCGACATTCCAAGTGAATTTTGTGAAGAGTGTGTTCAGTAGAAACAAAACAAGAATAACTTCAGCAAGGATGCAAGAAGGAAGTCGAAGGCAATTCTGGAAGTCATATGCTCCGATGTATGTCGTCCAATCCAGGTGGATCCGATTGCAGGCAACAAATACTTTGTCATGTTTATAGATGGTTACAGTTGAAAGCTATGAACTTACCTCATCAATAAGAAAAGTGATGTGATTGAGGTATTTTTCAGATTCAAATCTATGGTCAAAAGACAGAGTGGTTGAAAGCTGAAAATTCTGAGGAATGATGGTGGTGAAGATTATGTATCGAAAGAGTTCGATGCATCATGTGAAAAAGAAGGGATTGTTCATGAGGTGGTGTCACCCTACACTCCACAGCAAAATGAAATTGTAGAAAGAAAGAACAAAACCATCATGAACATGGTGAGAATTATGTTGAATGGAAAGCATCTACCCAAAGAATTATGGGGAGAAGCGGTTTCGACAACAACATACATATAAAAACAGATTTTCGATGAAGAAGCTTGAAGGAATCATATCAGAAGAATGTTGGTCTGGTTTCAAGTCTAGCCTTAATCACTTGAAGGTGTTTGGATCTATAGCACATAGACATGTTCCAAATCAGTTGAGAAGGAAGCTTGATGACAAGTCGAATCAGATGATCTTGATAGAATATCATTCGATTGGAGGTTACAAGTTGTTCGACTCAGTGAATAAGTAGGTAGTGATCAACATGGACGTGATAATAGATGATCTTAAATAATGGGATTGGACTGAGAATGTCAAGAAGGATTTAGTGAGAATCTCTTGTGAAGAACTAACCATTGAAGTCGAAAGAGAAGTTTGACCGGAACAAGTTAGAGATGAAGCTGGCCCAAGCAGACCTCGACGAACAAGACACATGCCTGCAAGGTTGCAAGAATGTGTGATTACATCAGATGATGTGGTCGAAGAAGAAGGTGAGCCGGTGCACTATGCTTTCTATGCAGATATCGAACCAATCAATGCAGCTGAGGCATTGAAAGATTTGAAGTGGGTGAAAGCAATGAATGAGGAGTTAGACTCCATCGATGTCAACAACACCTGGTCACTTGTCGATTTTCCTTAAGGCAATAAAGCAATTGATGTTAAGTGGGTTTACAAGGTGAAGGTGAATCCTAAAGGAGAAGTAACTCGACACAAGGCAAGACTTGTGGCGAAAGGATTTATTCAGAAGGAAGGAATCGACTTCGACAAAGTTTTTGCACCTGTTGCTAGGATCGAAACAATTAGATTGGTCATTGGTCTAGCAAATATGAAAAATTGGCACACATGTCAGATGGATGTGAAGTGTACATTCCTTAATGGCCCCTTAGACGAAGAAGTTTATGTTGCACAAAAACCTGGGTTTGTGAAACGAGGCGAAGAAAGAAAGGTGTACAGGCTGCATAAAACCCTGTATAGACTTAAGTGTAGCGGGGATATTTGTGAGTATAAGCTATTGATTAACTTAACTCCAAAAATGCAAGAGTCACCACCGAACTTTTATTTTATCCAAAAAGGAAAGGAAAAAGAGTGAACAAAACCAAAGAGTTTTAAACAAGAACAAAAGAAACAGAGATCGGGGTAAGGGGGTTGGTTACACAATGGGAAGGTGTTAGCATCCAAAACGTCTATAGTACTCTATAGGAGCCCTTTGAAATATTTACACTTTTTGGCTTGAAAATGGTTTTTTGAAAAGAGATTGGAGAGATGAGAAGAGAATTGTTTTTTTAGATTTTTGTGTTTGGAGAGACTTGTCGCCTCATGCCTACATACCCACAAAATGCAATATAGGATCAAAACCCCGTAGTTCATGGTACAAATAACAAAGTAGGTTTGTTATTGTTGGTTTTAACTGAAAAGACAAGTCGTCATTTCCAAGCGAATAATTTTTCTTAAAGAGATGATTCATGTCTAGACTTATGGAAAAGTTTTTGAAAGACAGTGCATAAGGCACAAAAGTCTTGGATGAGTTTGAATGTTTTTTATGTGTTTTTGAAAAGAGTCAAAGTATGGTTAGCATTGATTGACATTTATTGAAGAAAAAGAAGTTTGAAAAAAGAACTTGACAAAAGTCAAGGTTTTGTTATGAAAGCGGTTCGAAGTTTGAAAGCAAGAAGGTTTTGAAAAAGAGAGAAGGTTTTGAAAATTAAAGAAGGGGAGGAGATGAAGTGACTACCCTAGAAAGCAAAATAAAAGTTATAGATAAGAAGGATCTAGCCAACTTGTAGCACACTTCATAGCAAGCCAAAAGAATTCCATCCATCTTGAGCATAAGCAA